AACGGGAAAAACAAACAAACAATAGCAGACCTTTTATGCAGTAAGTTCTAAAAGGATTGGAAAAAGCTTTTTACTCAACAATTTCTACAACACATTATTTTATCTATTGGCACTCCAGTTAGTAGTAATTAAACTCTAATTAATATTAATCGATATCATGTCATATAATTTTATAAAAGTTATTTCGGTTCCGGTAATTGTTATTCATAATAGTTTAATTTAGAATGTAATGATTATATTTCAAATTAATCGCTTTTTACCATTTCTAATCAGCTTTACACATACACTCATTGAAACTATGTTATCAGTAAATCGTGAATTAGTTAAGAGAAAGAAAAAAAAAACGACAAACGAATTTATTTTCCGAAAAAAAGATTTAATTGTATTATTGAAGAAATGAATCAAAAATATATAATGTAGGAAAAAATAAATCATACAATTTTAATAATTAATAGGTACTTTTCATATAGATCCATCCATTTTGCATATAATTTCAAATAACTCATTGCTAATTGATTTCTCACCTTTATGACAATTGTCAAAGGTAAAATGTATTAAAATTACAGGCATTGTTAGCAAAAGTTATTTATTTCAGCATTTATGAATTTTTCACTTCCATACTTTTCTTTTCATTCAACACTTTGAAACTTTTTCTTTTTATTAAACACTGCATTATATTTCATTATTGATATTTTGAATAATTAAAATGAATTTGCAGAAATGTATGAGGAATAGAAATGAAAAATCAAATAATGAATTGTAAGATAAGTTTGTTTTCACATCATTTTACGACATCAATGATCAGATTAATTAGCAATATTTTATTTAACATATTAATTAAATGTCACGTTGTAATTAAGTATCCTACTAAAAAATTTAATAGGTGTATCTATCGTGCATGTATATATGTGTATGTATGTATATATCTATGTGTGTGTATGTGTGTTTGTGTATGTGTATGTGGTGTACATATGTATAAAATTTTCAATAAGCAGTAGTGTAAATGTGAAATGCTATAGCGTAAAGTTTTTCGAGAGCAATTCAAAAAAGAAAAAAGATTTCATTCCTGAAAATGCTAACTTATTTTTTAGTTAGAAGAAAAATAAAAAGAAACGAAAAGAGAGGGATAAAAATAGGTACATCCAAGAATATCCAAAATGTTTGATAGATCAGTCAGAAGAAGATTTACCGGGGAAAAAAAAGCGGCAAAAAAAGGGTTTAAATATTTATTCATTTTTTTTCCTCTAAAAAGATCAAACAAACAATCCGGAGATGAAATAGAAAAAATGTGTATGAAATTGAAAAGTACGGTGTATAACTATTCATTGATTTGTACTAATTTTAATTAATTATTAAATGTTTGAAATTTTAGAAAAGATATTATCCATTCCTGCTAGCATACTTACGTAGAATGGATTCATTTGCACACTTTCATGTATTTTAAACAAATAAATATAAATGGAAAATTAATATTTGATAAGAAATTGGTAAGAAAATTTCAATTTGTTACATTGATATTTTTTTGCATATTTCATTAAAAGCTTTTCTTTCTTTTTTTTTTCGTTTTATTTTGTTAAATTTAAAATTTCAATATTACACAATATTGGCAATAGAATAATGATATAAAATATATTAGAAAAAAAAAGAAAAGTAAACTTACTGCGATATGAAACAATTTCAGTTGGAATAATATTCCAATTATCTTTAGCTACAAATACGCCTGTTGCATTACTTTGAGGTGGCCATTGTCTTAAAAATTAATCATTTTTTATTAATTTATTCTACATAAAATTTTGTAAAAGAAGCCAAGTTCGATGTTTTCACAACCAAATAAAACATTTTAGTCGTTTTTCTTTTTTTTTCTTTTTTTTTGAACAGCAATAAAAATTTGAGGGAAGACAAAATGAATTTGAAATTCCATAGATGGAGAACTAGACAGTAGATAGCTTTTAATTCTCCGTCTTTTTTTCCTTTTTTTTGTCTTAAACTTGTTTGTTAGATAATTTCAATAGTGTCGTAAAGTCGGGAAACGTTTTTTGTCTATAAGTTTTCTTAAAGAAATGCTTCTTTTTTTTTTTTTTTTACCTATAACGATCATTATGCTATTTTATTTAATTTATCTGATAATAAAATTTGTGCTATTTTATGTCAGATTGTTATTCATGACCTATTATAGCGTGATTAAATTTTCTTAGATTAGCTTTTGAACTTTTACAATAAAACAAACTGGTCATTATGCCAAATTTAAACGATTTAAAATAATTTAGCTAAGAATAATTTCAAGAAATATTTGATGTATTAAATAGAAGGAAAAAATAAAATAAAATCTCACTTTTTTTCTTTATTCAAATGAAGTGCAGGAAAAAATTTAATAAAATTTTTAAATTACAATTTTTTTTCCAAAACCATGAATAAAAGACAAAAAAAAGGAAACAAATTACCATTTTCTCATTTTTAATATTTCCCTTAACATATCCATGGATTATTGTTCTGGCATATATAAGTAGCAATGAAATTTTTAATTTATACTTATTACATCAGTAGTTTTTTCTGGAGGAAAAAAAAACAAATTTGCTCTTTTCATATTATCGAATGCAAATTCAAATTTCTTTCTAGAAATTTCATTTTTAATATAATTTAGAGATTCTTAAACTGACATTTTCATCGATATGACACTTTCTTGTTTCCTTCTTCAGTTTTTAAAATTCAAATTCCTGATATTTCAATTTCTTTTTTTTTGAGATCCAGATTTCTGATATTTTAATTTTCCTCTTTTTAAGATTCAGATTCCTGATATTTTGATTTTCTTTTTTTCATTTTTCTTTTTTCTACAAGCATCAACAAAACACATATTCGGAATTCTTTTACAGTATCCTAACTTTTTGAACATTTTGCATTATTTTACATTTATGAATTTCATCACATGCTGTACGACCTTTCAAGAAAAGAAAAATTTGATTATTTTGTTATCAATTGATAGTGGTTGAACTTAACTTTCTGCTATAGACTGACACTTTATGTCTTTTTACTCTTTGCGTTTTTACTCAGAACTCTTTTTACTCATAACTTTTTACTCTTTACCTAATTAAAAACAGAGTAATCAAGGAAAAAGTAAAAATAAATTAATCAAATATTTTATTAATAATATTATTTCAAATTGTATTTTATTTTACTAAAAATGAATTTTAAAGAGAAAAAATCATCCCATTATTTTCTAACACATTCAGATAAATAAATTTAAAAAAATTCTTGTTTTTCACCTTTTTTTTTTAACACCAAAATTCACATCATTCGATTTATCATCGTATATTATTTAAATACTTCTTCAAGAAAAGAAAAAAAAACAAACGCTTACCTGGTGAGAGCTTTTACGGTACCTTCTGCTAATCGAGGTTCCACGGTTCTGGAACGTTGTCTCAACATATTTATTCCATTTTCATCTCGCCTATAAAATTTAATCAAAGCAATACAAACAAAATTAGAAATTGAATTAATATATTTTCAGAATTCACATGCACTTGAAATAAACATGCTTAATAAAATGTTCGGTTGAGGATGTCATGGAGTGAATGGTTCAAAAAATTTATACTTTAATTTCTTTTCATCTTATTTTTTCAATGAAATATGTTGGAAAAATTTTGCAAAATTGAAGTTGAAATATAAGTAATAACAGAACTTGAAACTATTTTCTTGTTGGTTTTCGTATTTCAAAATCTTTAAAATAAGGTAGCAATTGATAAATTTTGTTGAATCTTGTGTGTCGGCGAAGAAATATGGTAATTTAAAATTTTTTAGATAATTAATTTCAATAGTACATTGAAATATTACTTCAAAGAATGTATTTGATTAGGAGGTGGAGATGAGAAGATATTGTGAATTCGTGATTGTGAACGTGAACGACTAGCTGGATAACGTGAAAAAGAATCGGTATGCGAATCAGGGGTTACTTCGAATGGTGTATTTATACGTGATGTCATCGAAAAATCATCAAGAGGTGTATTTAAACGTGAATCAAAGAAACTTTCCGAAGGTGTCTCTGCCATTCGTCGATTGACTCGATCACGCATCTCTTCTGCTTCACGTACTGGTGAAAAAACACTTCGACCCATCAAAAAATTACCATCCGATGAATGCTTTGATCTGGAATTCTTACAATGAAACCATTTCAAACGTACTATTCAGAAATCTTTCAATGTGTAAAATTTACATCTTTAAGATTTGTCAGTAATACATACGGTATATTTTGATGCGTAGGTGCACGGAAAATGAATTGAGCATCTTGATCAGATGGTCGACTTATCCTAGAAACAACATCCATCTTTGCTTGCTTTAATATTTCTTCATCTTCGCTTGATTTATTCTTCGCTATTAATTTCTCTTCAATTTTCGATTTTGGCATTTTCCATCGTAGAGGTATAAATCTCTTACTTGTTACCGTCCAGTCTGCATTTATCTCGTTATTCTACAAGTACATTAAGTGTAATAATTCATTCTTGGATCATAAATGTTAACAAATTGTTAGGTAATTTGTATCATTCAAATTTAAAAATTTAGCATAATGTGACGGATGATAGATAAGGAACAAGTTTGGAACGAATTAATAAAAAATTGAAATGTGATGAATTGATTTGAAATAACCTGAAATAAATTTTAATCTAAGGCTTTAACTTCATGGAATCATTGAAAAATTCAATAGAAATGCGTAAATTTAATAAGCATAAAATGTAACCTCCTCCTCTGGTTCGATTTTTTGTTCATTTAATTTTTGCTCACGTTCTTTGACTCGAGCATGAGCTTCAACCATGATATCGAGTGGTAAAATAGCAACACCACCCTTTGGTGGCACCTATAATTTTTTTATTAAGTAATCCTTCATCAAGTTAATAATATGTCTTAAAAAAACTTGATGATAATTTTAAAATTAAAAAAAAACAAACAAACTTCTAATCGTTTTAAATATCTGATTTCATCGTTTTACTTTCTTTGCAATGTTTGCAACAGTTCATCAGATATAAATTTGTTATGGTTCCTCAAATTTATGAACTAGTAATCGGATCATTCCGCTTAATTCACTTTCTGGATAATCTTAAACTATTCGTTTAACCATAGCTTGAGAATAAGATGTTGTACACTTATCACTTTGTTAAAATTTCTATAACATTACGATATCAAATCATTTTCTCACTACCATATGATTTTTAGGTTGAATAATTTTTTGTTAAATACTTTTGATAACTCATAAATTTCAAAAAAAGTTTTATGCAATGTTTCGCGAATCAAACATATCTTTCCATGCTTGTTTACATAGCAAAACTGAAATTGTCTGAAGAAGAATTATTCAAATATTCGAATTTTAAATAAAAAGTTAAATTAATAAATTAGTTTATGGTGATATCGTGGAGTTGAATGACAAACTTTCTCGTCGTCTTTTGTCTCTGTTGCTGATGTTAATCTTTTAAAAACTGGTAATGAAGGAGAAATAGGAGGTTTTGGTGATTGCGGCGGTGGTGGTGGTGGTGGTGGTGGTGGTGGTGGTGGTGATAGTGGTGGTGTGGATACCACTGAATTAGCAACATCCGGACCTTCTATAGTAGATTTCTTAAAATCACTTGTATAGATTTGCTTCCTAGAATAAAATTCTACCGGTTGGATGATTGGTTCCTCAATCGGTGACCATATCTGGAAAGTCATCTTAGCACCTGAAAAAACAAAAAAAAAAATTACGAAACTCAAAAATCGTTACCTTCTTTCATTTTATGCTGATAAAATTTGTTGGAAAAACAATTTAAATTGAAAATTTACAATCATATGAACATTCCTTTTTCTCCATAAAAAACTTGAAATTTCACATAATTCGTTCAAATTTCACATCAAATCTGATTTTTCTTTTCTCTCAACATCTATTCTAGGAAAAAATATTTTCATATAAATCATCAGAAAAGTATATCTTTTTTGATTTTTTCTTCCCCAGTTCTTGTAATAAATGAACGAACATTCAAGTATTAGGATTCGAAAATTGAAATAAAATGCAACAAATCCAATCAAATTACCTGTTGAAGAAAACTGTTGTTGTTGTTGTTGTTGTTGTTGTTCATATTGTTGCTGTTCGTATCGTTGTTGTTCATGTTGTTGTTGTTGTTGTTGTTGTTGTTGTTGTTGTTGTTGGTGGTGGTGGTGGTGGTGGTGGTGTTGTTGTTGTTGTTGTTGTTGTAATTCTTCCTGAACCTTTTTAGTAGTCGTTTTTTGAATTTGTTCTTGGCTTTGCTGAATGCGTTCTGCCGAAGTTCCGGCAATTATCGCCGAATTTCCCGAGCTAACGAGCCATTCGTAGATAATCGAATAAAGCCACATGATGAAATGCACTACGGTAGTACCAATATGTCCCAGGATACTGTAAAAAACGCTACACAAATTTTGAAATGTTCGTGCTGCTTTGTTTGCATATTGTTCGCTTAGCTGTTGATACGAATTCATTCTTTGAAAATTTTGAAGTGTTGATTTTGTTGTTGTTTGTTTATTTCCTCGCCAGCTAACTCCTGTTTTGATGATGTTAGTGTGTTCATCGGTGGTTTGATTATTTTCAGCTTGCTTCGGACTAACGGACGATGAAGAAGTATCCGTTTGTACTTTCGGATTATGCAAACAGCAATTGTTCGTCGTACATCGTTCAACATTTCCAATTTTCTGCCATTCCGGTTTTCCTCTGTAATACAGTCATAAAATTACAACTGCTTCCTCCTCCCGAAATTACTAATTCTAATTAAAGTAATTTGCAAAAACTAGGAATTGTTTAAGATAATTAATTTGTAGAACTTCCCCATTTCCCAGTATGTTTTAAAATGGTCGTCCAGTAAGTTTTATTTTTAAAATCAGTTCATTTTCTCAGTCTATTTTCACAATTTTTTTTACAGTCTATTTTTACAATTTCACATTCTGGTTCCTTTTAAGCAAAGCAAAGCAAAAAAAAAAAAAAGAAAAACAAGGATGAAAAATATCCCCGCTATTATCATTTTTATTTTCCAAGACGAATAGCCGAACCGTTGGAGATTAACCTTTGCAATGTTCCAATACACTATCATCAAATTAAGCTAATAAAATAGTCAAAAGCAATAATCGGGATAAATCTTTCGATTGTTTAAAAATTTCACTTAACAAGATAATATTCGTTTTTTCAATTAAAAGTATGCGTTTGTTTGGTTTAAAATAAAAGAATGCATTTTTAATGGAATTTTCTTTAATAATTTCATTTTCAGTTTTTGAAAAAGAAAAAAGCTTGAAAGTTGATTAATTTTTGATGCGGAAAAGGATGATGTGAAAATTAAATAAGGGATGAGAATGAATAATTCCTGAATAGTACTTCATCTGTTGTTGTTGTCGCTTTTTTTTTTTGACTTTGAATAATTGCTTGAGCAAATTTTTTTCTTCTCATTTTGATTATGATTATGTGAACAAATTCAATACATTTATACAATTTGTCTATTCAATTGGAAATGGACAAATCCGCCCAAATGCATGAATTTTCCAATTTATTTTCAATTGTTTTATACTGATTTGTTAATTTGTGAAATGTCCCACATAAGATCGTTTTAGCGCTTCTTTAAAAGATTTTAGAAGTTAATTTTTGATTGGAGTTAAATTCTCATTGAACTTTCTGTGACAATCGGTTATTTGGTATGATGCAATTTTCATACAATATTTAATTCAATTGAAACATGATAATGATCAATCAGCGAGAAATACAATAAAGTGGTATGAAATCTTAAATTTCATCCCTTTAACAATATTATTTAATTTTTGGGATGTGTCAATTTACGATGTTATTAAGCAAAGTTAAATCACCAACATTTATAATGATACTAGTAGCTTCTTCAAATTATTTTATCAAACAATATTTTATAATGATAGTCAAGCTCATAAGACAAAGACTGTATATGTGAGAATAACTTACTATTCATATTAATAATGATAATAATACAGCATCAATATTATTATTATTGTTATTATTATTATTATTATTATTATTATTATTATTATTATTATTATTATTATTATTATTATTATTATTATTATTATTATT